AAGCCTCAGCACCGCATAAAACTAGCCATCAAGGAAATACTGTGATCCTAGCACAAAAAGGAGACAGGAAAACCAGGAGTTCAAGGTCATTCTTGGTTGCATTGAGAGTTCAAGACCAGCCAAGGCTGTAAGAAACCCAGAAAAAAAGAAAACAAAAAATATCTGGGGTTAATTTGTTCTTTCACTAAGGAATGTATCCTGAGAAGTGTAGAGAAGATGACAAAATAGTAACGGAGACTAAATGGTAATTTTGATACCAGCCTTTGAAGAAAAAAAAATAAATAAATTTTAAAAATCAGTATTTCTCAACTTTGGTGGCATTGACTCATTTGAGAAGCCTGTCTACAAACATTGCTGGGCTGGAGATCTTGTACAATGCTTACATAACATGGAAGCCCTGTGTTGGGTCCTCAACTCTGACAATCCAGCTAGGTGCAAACAAACACTGTCTATGCTGAGCTGTGTCAGCAGCAGCATCCATAATATGAGTCTTTTTACATGTTTGGAATAAAATAAACCAACCCAGTATTGGGGCATGAGGAGAGATGATTCAGGAAACCAATGAGATCACACATAAAATGGCTTGTGAGTGTACAACTGCCAAGTGTAATTTAATAGCGCAAACATGCCTATTTACCTAAGGACAGAGTACAAAGATTCTGCAGACTCTTAAACGGACTCCTACCTCCACATTCTACCGTTCTCAACTGCAGAAGAGAGCACATTTCCAGTTGGACCACGAAGCATCAGCCACTACTAGTAACATGCATTCTAACTAAACAAATTATTAGAAATTCCAAAGTACAGAACCCGAAATAGAGTTATTAACACAAAAATGGGACTTCAAGGTCAAATTGATCCCAGGAAGCAAGATACCAACATCCTTTCTCTTGGAGACACATGACTTTCAAAGCTAGTGCTGAAAAGCCCAGCTATTTAAAAAAAAAAAATAGAGAGAAAAGAAGAAAACCTTTCCCGTGGATCTTTTTTTCCCTAGTTCCATCTCTCAGAAGATTGTGGAAAAGTCTGAGCAATATGAATCTAATTTGAAAATGATCGAAGAGTATCTCACTAACCGACTGCAGCCCCTTGAGGAATCCATGGTGTCCTTACTTACTGTGGAGCACATTATGTATGGTGAGAATTATCTCTGTGTCCAGTGCTGACTTTGTACCTGTCTGCTTGCAACAATATTCCCTGCTAAGTAGCTAAGTCCTGTGTGTGTGTGCGTGTGTAAACGAGTGCAGTCGTTTGTGGGTGCATGCCCAGTGTGCACTGGTGCAGAGGCCAGAGGAGAACATCTGATATCCTCTACCACCCTGCCTTACTGCCTGCAGACAGTGTCTCTCACTGAACCCACAACTCTCTGGGCTTTTGTTTTATTTTTTGGTTCTTGTTTGTTTGTTTGTTTGTTTGTTTGTAGCAAACCTGTCTGGCCAGCAAGTCCCAATAATCCTCTGGTGTGTCTCCCCACCTGCTAGCTGGTGGCTCAGAGAGGCATCACTGTGCCCAGCTTTTATGTAGGTTCTGGGATCTAAAACTCAGGCCCCATGCTTGCAGGGAAGCTCTCTTACTAAGCCATCCCGCCAGCCTTCACAAATACCTTATTTCTGATGGATTATCAAATTCTTTCAACTCAGAACTTTGAATAAACCCTTCCACACCTCTGAATAAAGCCTGTAGCACAAAAACAATAACTCACAGCTTCCTTTCTTCCGCTATGACCTCACCAAAGGGGCACGGGTTCTAATGAGGCCAACTCTCAGATGAACTCCTTTGAAAAGAAAGAGAGGAAGATAATAGAGGGAAGGAGGGAAGAAAGGGAGGGAGAGAAGGAAGGAGGGAAGAAGGGAAAGAGGGAGGGAAGGAGAAAGGGAGAGAAAGGAAAGGGGCTCAGAACAGAACATGGCTGTAGGCTTTATAGAAACTACAAGTTTCTCTGTATATCCAAATCTGACTTGAAAATTTGTTTTTAATAAATTTCAATTAAAATGGAAAGAAACAGGGACTGGGGAAGAGTGCATTATAACAAAGCCTACAATTACACCCCTTGCCTGGCAGGCATTTGAAGGGCTAAGGGGATCAAGTGACAGAATATAAGATCCTTTTGTCAGAATCAAACAGTAGGAAAGTAAAACCATTTTATCCTCAGGGGATTACTGGGGGGGTGGGACTCCTGCACATACACACATACACACACACACACACACACAGTCAGTCAGTCAGTCAGTCATCTACACAGCTGTCAGTGGCTGACCCTTATCCCTCTAGCAGACTCCATATTCCTGTAAGGCCACTCCACAGTTTGGCGCAGGCAGGCAGGCAGGCAGACAGGCAAACGGCCTAGATTCACACCTGAGAATCAGCAACCTGAAAGCCCGCTGCTGGATACTCAGTGACGGCTCACATGGGCACGAGCATCAGCTGGAGGAAGGTACAGAAGATGAGGACCCAAATGAGACAAAGAAGGCAAAGCCAGATTAAAGTCCCTGAGTTTTCAGAGGTGACATAGAAACTACTTGTTAATGTGCAGAGGGGGCAGGGCATGGAAAGGGGACCTGTACACCATGAGCCAAGCCTGCAGCAAGGGGACCTGTACACCATGTACCTGCATTAGCAGCAGCATCTGCAGGGGATGGGCTCAGGCTAACAGATGCTATGTTAGGGCCAGGTGCAGTGGAGAAGGACTTTAATCTCAGAACCAGATAGAAGCAAATAGATCTCTGTGAGTTCCAGGACAGCTGGGGCTATACAGAAAGACCCTGTCTCTGAATGAATGAATGAATGAATGAATGAATGAATGAATGAATGAGTAGAAGGAGGAAGAAGAGAAGGAGGAGGAAAAGGAAGAAGACAAAGAGGACAAAGAAGGAGGAGGAGAAAGAGGAAGAAGAGGATGAGAAGGAGAAGAATGAAGAAGAGGTAGAAGAGGAGGAGGAGGAAGAGGAGAAAAAGAAGAGGAAGAAACACCAAACCATGTTATCCCCTTACTGCAACTAAGGGCCACAGAGGAAAAGACACAGCTTTTCATGTTCCAGACTTAGCACCCCAATCTGACACTCCCCAGGACAGATCTCTATCTACAACCCAGCACTGCTTCATTCAGAGAGGCTAACTGGGAGGGTGGGGGGACTCATTATACCATACCAAAACCCTGCCAAGTCGGTACTACCCACACCCCCATTTTCCAGATGAGTAAACAAGCTTCAGGACTTCTCTAGTTCTCACAGGCCGCAAGGGGTAAACCCTGTACAAAACTATCAGGATGGAAGAAATTTTACCTCTAGTTTCTTCTATAACTAAAGATGCAATTACCCTTCAATCTTTGGAGAATGGCTTTCCCCCCCACTCCACAGTGTAACTCCCTAAAAATATACAATTTTTTTTGTATGTTAGGTAAATGGTACTTTCCTTTTTATTGCTAAGTACTGTTCCATAGTAGGTACACACAAAAACACTGAATCATTTGTCCATAGTTCATTCCTCAAAAGGACATGTGTGGATTGTCCCAATCCCACAGCCAAGTGGGCATAAATATTGCATAGGGGTTTTTTGTATTCCATTCTCTCCATACATGTCAGACATTTTTTTAACTAAAAATATAGTAGAGCCAGGTGTAGTGGCATACACCTTTAATCCCAGCACTCAGGAAATAGGCAGGTGATCTCTCTGAGCTCGAGGCCAGTCAGGTCTACAGAGTGAGTTCTAAAATGGCCAGGACCACACAGAGAAACCCTGTCTTGAGGAAAAACAAAAGACAGGAGTAGTGAGTGGCTCATGTCTATAACTCCAGCACTTATTTGAAAGACTGAGGCAGGGGGATTGCTTCAAGTTTAAGGTTACCTTGAAACCCTGTCTCAAAAGATCAAAAAGAAAGAGGAAAAGCAAGAGGGAAGAGGAACAGGGCCCTGACACACATTTGCCAGGAATGGTGGCTCCCACCTGGAAAGATAAATAACACAGGAGACTCGTGACTTTAAGGCCTGGGATACACAGCCCCTCTCAAAACACTTGCCTGGCCAAAAACAATAAGCCACTCTTTCAAAGAAGTCTCCATTTGCCGACAACTCTGAATGTGCTGTGAAGATCATTCCAAGTGGGTTTTGTTTCACTTAAACAGACATGTGGCCAAAGATGCAAATGGAAATCCTATAAAATGTTCCCTCACCAACCCCCCTCCTCATGTACCACTCTCCCCAAACCCCGCCCCTCCCAAAATCAGTATTAAAAATCCCGAGTGTCCTCTGATAGCTTCAGTGGCTACGCTTCACTGGCCCATTACTCCAGGTTCCAAACGTTCGACTGCTAGGAAGACGCATAAAGCAACAGACAGGACAATGGATTCCCAACCCTGGGTCAAAACCAGTTTTTGTTTAGGCCCCTTGCTCGCCCTTCCTGTCTACATAATGGACATGACCCCCTCCTCCGGAGACTATGGGAGATTCAGGGACCATATCAATACCTAATACTATTATAATCTGGTTCCGCTCTCCATTCCTTCTCCGATTCCCTAACAGCCCAGCCAAGCTCATTCTTTGTTCACCTGACCACAAGTAATCCTCTCCCCCTCGCGGAGTGCCTTGGATAACCAGACCACCCTCCCCTTTCAAACAGAACATTTCACCTACTCCACCCTCCAAAAGCGAGACCAGATCAGGCTCCGAACCCAGTCGCCTGAGCTGGAGCCTGTCTAGGACAGCGCGGCAGCAAGCTGGTCTGCTACTAACATTCCCAGGGTGAATGACAACACCTAACGGTGTTTGGGGGAATGTCTTCCTACCGACGCCCTTGGAACCCTCGCGGCGGCCCAGAGCACTTCCGATGCACACTCCTGGTTTAACAATCCCCAGGTATGAAATAGCTTCCCCGGCGGGGGAAAGAGAAGCAAGAGTTGCGAAGTTTTAGAGTCGCCTCCCCCGCGGGAGCCGCGCGACAGCGGTAGGGTGCGGGAGGCCCGAGGGGTTCTCGAATGGGCGGTGCAAGCTGGGGCGCGCACTCACCCTCCGTGCTCCTCTTCGCCTCGTGGTAGCGCGCCCACAGGTAGCTCTTCATGTCCACGGCAGCCGGGGCAGCCGGGGCAGTGCACAGGCGCCGAGCGCAGCCGGCGCGCGGCCGTCCCCGAGCCACAGCCCCGCCGCCGCTCCGCAGCCCCGCCGCCGCCCTCGCCCCGGCCCCGCGGGCCGCCGCTGCCACCGTGGCCATGCTGCCACTAGACTGCCAGAGACACGGACAGCCGGCGTCGCGAGGCTCCCGGACGCACGCCGGCAATTCCTACGTCTGAGCAATTGGCGGCGCGGCCCAAGCACCACCCACTGCGGGGAGGAGCCTGGGCGGAGCCGGGGGCGAGGCTGAAGAGGTGGGCGGGGTCTAAAGGGAAGCGGGAGGCGGGGTCAAGGATTAGACTAGGCGCAGCGGGATGGGTGGGGCCTGGGCTGGGTCAGGGGCGGGGCCTAGTTGGAAAGAGGAATGCCCGGGCTGAGTAAAGAACAAGATCTAGAGACAGAAAGACTGGGACCATCTCGATTGCGTCAGAGGCAGAAGCAGGGGCCGAGTCTGAGGAGACAGAGCCGGGACCTGGGTTAGTCAGAGGCTGGATCAAGTGTGAGCCTGTGGAAATGGAGCTGGGACGGAATCTGAGTTGAGTCAGAGGCGGAGTCAAGGGCGAGGTCTTAGAGAATCCGGGTGGGGCGGGGCCGTAGCTGCCGGGGCTCAGCGCCCGTTATGCTGCGGTCACTTCCTGACCCGAGAGGCGTGGGGGTGGTGCTGAAGTCACACGGACTAGGATGATTCATCTCCAATCCTATCGCTGCCTGCAAGACTCTACCTTCCTCTTGCCTTCCGTGGCAGCCCCCAATTCTGATTGCACTGATGAGTGTATTCACTACGCATCTCTGGTCCTAGTCTCTGGAATGTGACCCACTCCGTGTCAATAGCTTCTGCAGGCATCTCCTGGATCCCAGGTGCCTCTTTGAGACAGTCCTGAGGCCCGGCTTGGGCCTATCCAAGAGTTACCCTTTAAAAAGTTGCTGGGCCGAGATCCCACACGAGGTCTAACTAAAGTCGTCTGCAAGATCCTGCCCCTGAAAACTGCAATAATGTACATTTCCTTTACAGTGCACTGCCTCTGGAAAGCCGGGTTCCCACCTTCAGAGAGGTCCTCTGGACCTGATTATCAGTCTCCAGCCCATCCTCACAGCAAGCTTGGTACCTGCTTCACTCACCTGCTTAACTGCACTTGTTCCATGCCCTGGAGCTTCACTAATAGCCAATAAACAGTAGTTGCCCTACCAAACGCCACTTCTGTATGCACTGAGTCAGACTTGGCTCCTGCAGGCCTTTCTATCACCCACCCAAGACCTGACAGAGACGCACTGGGCCCCAAGGAATTCCCCAAGTACCCCATGGTAGGGTACTTAGGGGGGTATAGTGTGAATGGCAGAAAGGATGAAACAGGGCACAATGTGAGACAACCCCCAAGCATTAGCGATTCTTAAATTGTAGGCTGGAGGAATCAGATGTTTTCATGGAAAAAGAGGACACCTGAGCTAGTTCCTGACAGATAATGAAAACCATTAATAGAAAGCGGCTGTGTATTTTATCATACACCTTTCCCAACTGTCTTGAAAGGAAAGTACCATGTCTCTCCTTTATCCATAGTGAAACCGAGGCATAACAGAGGTGAGATTGCTTGCCTAAAGCCCCAGAGCAGAGTCCCCTCTTCTGTTGGGTGGTAGGGATAAGGGTCGCTAGAAAGTAATTCTTAACTGTTACAGGTTAATATTTTAAGAATCACTGATAAAACGGGGGATGATAAAATGTGCAAATAGATATGGTATCAAATCCGTGGGCTCTGATGATTAAAGCTTCCTTTATGACTTGAGAACATGTCACCTCCTATCTTTCCTTATTTATTCTAATAAAAAGACTTGGTGATGACAATCATCATCAATTTACTTAGGTGAATTTTTAATTCAAAATATACTATAGAAATGTATCTTAAAATTGCGATTGGTAAGAGTGCTTCTATACATTTCCTTAGAGTATATGACTCTGCGGAATCAAGGTTGTCACACTCACCACAGAACTGCGGATCCCTTGAAACCTGCTCTTTGTAACTAAATCAGGTACAGCATTATAAGGGACTAAGGAAACAGAATCCCCAAACCTGGGTAGTGACCACTGCTGCAGAGTTAAAAGAAAATATCCGATGAAAAGAATCCAAAATGGGTACTAGGGAGATGGCTTGGTCTGTTAAGAGCTTGTGTGTACACGCCAGCACTGCTATAAAAATGCAGGCATGACAGCCTGTTCCTATGGCCTCAGCACAAAGAACCAGGAGACAAGACGATCCCAGGAGCTCACTGACTAGCCAGGCTAGTAGAATCCATGAGCTCCAGGTTCAGACCTGGTGGTGGTAGCGCACGTCTTTAATCCCAGCACTTGGGAGGCAGAGGCAGGTGGATTTCTGAGTTCGAGGCCAGCCTGGTCTACAGAGTGAGTTCCAGGACAGCCAGGACTACCTTGTAGGACAGAGAAACCTTGTCTCGAAAAAACGAAAGAAAAAAAAGAAAAAAGAAAAGTGTGAGGAAGACACTGACAGCAGCCTCTGCCCTACACACAAACGTGTGTGCACACATGTACCACAGGCACATAAACCTTCCAAGAGAAGTGAGAAAAACTCAAAGTACAAAACAGCCCAACATTATTTTTATTCCTTATCAGGGTCATCTGAGGTCTTCAGCAACTTTGTTTCAATTTGAGATCTTCTTGGGAAGACCGGCTTCTGAGGAGTGAAGCAGTACTCCGGAGTGTGGAAGAGCCATTTTTCTGAGACGAGTTCCGATACGGACTTCCAGGGATTATCTGCACTAAGAGATGCCCGCAGGGGTTGACGGTAAATGGAAGTGATTAGGCCATTTCCACTCCCCAGCTCAGCAGAAGAAACCCTCTGCCTTGAGAGTCTCACCAAGCCGTTTTTGTCAATGAAAGAGTATGTCTTAAGGGGACAGACTGCCCTTTTCCTTGGAGGTTGCTTTCTTGGACTATTCCGTATTTGTGAAATTGAAGCCTTCTGTTGGAACTTTTCCTCGGCAGACATGCACAGAATTGGAGCCAAGGTCTTCTTCCCTCTGCCGGGAGCATATTTTGGTTTATCTGAAACCAGAGCACTCTCTGTGCTTTTAGCTCTCTGAAACCTACGTATATTCATACACACTGCAGTGTTCACTGTGTCAGTATTCTGAGCACTGTTGAAGTTTAATTTAGGCAAGTTCTCCCATAATGAAAAGCCATACCTAGAGCCTTCAGGGTATAGCTGGTTCATGCCTTGAGGCCAAGACCTCCTGCCCCGGGACCTCTGGATCTCCCTTAGAAGGCTGCAAAAGATCAAAACATGTCAAGTGGCTGTGTGTTAACACAAATAATCAGAATATCTGCTTCTTTTTGAGACATGTAAAAGAAACTCACTGAAGTATTCCCTCGATGGAAGCGTGGGAAGGCCCCAGGTGAGCCGCCCTTAAATCAAGTGACCTATACAAATAGCTGACTGCCTCCATTGTGGCATGATGGCAGAAGTCGCCTGACAACAGCTGGCCTGCTGGAGAGATAGGAAAAGAAAACATCAGAATTGTTTTAATTACTAACTTTATACATTTAAAAGATCTATAAAGTCGGCATTAGAGCACCTAAGACCCTGCCAAAGACATTTCACCTTCATCTGGAGTGAAGAGACAGTCAGATACGAATGAAAAGATAAGAGGTCTGAGTAGAAGGGACAGACACTCTTCAGAAAAGAACATGTTGATGCTATGAGATGAGGAAGTGACACCAAAAAAAGGAAGAAGAGAAGGGGGAAGATGGAGAGGTCAATGCTGTAAGCTGAAAGAGGCAAGTAAGTACAACCCAAGCCCTCAGTAGAGCCTGGAGAACAGCTCAGTCGTACGGTGACTGCCCAGAATGTGCCAGGCCATGCATTCCATTCTAAACAACAGCACAGACACACAAACACACACAGAGAGAGAGGGGGGAGGGAGAGAGAGGGAGAGGGGAAGGGGGAGGGCGAAGGGGCGAGAGAGGGAGCGCGAGGGAGAGGGAGTGGGAGAGAGAGAGAGAGAGAGAGAGAGAGAGAGAGAGAGAGAAATTGATTCTGGGATTGAAACCCAAGAAGCTATAACTGATATTACTACTACACTACAAGAATAGAGTATATAGAGATTATTGATTATTGGCCATTCAACCAAGAATCATCTTACATCCTAGTTGAGTTTCCTAACCCGATTATTGTATCATGCTTGCACTCTCCTTGTACCTTGAAGTCATGCTTGGAAGTAGAAAGAGAAATGACTGTTGTATATGCAACCAACTTTCAATGATTCAGAAAAGTGTGTGGATGTACACAAGTGTGTGTTTGTGTGTTTGTGTGTTTGTGTGTGTGTGTGTGTAAAGAATACAAATGCAGCAAACTGTTAAAAGCTAGTGAATGGTACAGTGTTATACCATTTTCAAAAATTTACAGTTTTAAAAGTTTTTCCAAACCAAAAGGTAGAGAAGAACCTTTGTTGTCAGATACCATGGTCAATATTAATTCTCTGAAGTATGTTACAGGTCAAAAGAGATTCCTTTAAAATCTGGTTTTAAGGTGGTGTTCATTTATCTATCCATTTTGGCTATTTTCAGAACTGCTGATTTTTATTATTTTTTTCTTTTTTGGGTTTTTCTCTGTGTAATTGGCCTGGCTGTCCTGGAACTTGCTTTGTACACCAGGCTAGAGTCAAACTCACAGAGATTCACCTATCTCTGCCTCCTGATTGCTGAGATTAAAGGCATGGGCCAACACCACCCAGCTAGAACTGCTGACTTAAAGGGCTTGTTGTCTTTGTTACAAATGCACTGTAAGATTGATGCCAGCAGGACACTGACCCTGATAGAAAGACCTCTGAGGCTGTGAGGGCTTCAGGCATGGACATATGACCAGGTGCCTGTGCTAACGACAACAAGGTACATGACTGTGGTTACCATCTGTCTGCTAATCTAATAAGAGTGACACCCAATACCGTCATCCTCTGTCTTTTCCATTTAGTCTTCTTCATAGTACACATATACCTGTGGCTCAATCATGAAAATGTACCCAAGGATGAAGTAAAAAGTTCTCCCTTCCCTGTGCCTCTATAAGCAGTGCCATGGGCTCCCAGGGGCCTTTAAAG